GGCTTGGATGGTTACAAATGGTACAATTTATAATTTCGTAAATTTTTGTATCCATGTGTTGACAGCCATTCAATGCCGAAGGGTCGTGGGGTCGTGTATCACTTTTCCCATACAGAGAACAAGATTTTTGACAACAGGTTTTTTCACAAAGATTTCGTATATACAGTCTTTTTTATAAGAACAGTTTTATAAGAACAAGAGCCTCAAAATTGGTCAAAAGTTGAGAATAAATTAAGAACAAGCTGAGGCTGACCTTTTGCAAAATGCAATTTTGAACAACGTTTTTTCTCAAAATCGAGGATTGTTAGCAATGTGTGGGTGCTTTTTCGTTGAATATTCAAATTTGTCAGCAAATTAAGGCTGTCTCACTCACTTTGTTGGCAAATGTGGCCTGAACAACTCCTTAGAACAAAAAAGCTAGCAATAGCACTGCTTACACCCTCTTAATTCAAGAACAAATTAAGAACAATCCAGCCTCAGATTTTCGAAAAAATTAAGAACAGTCAGCCTGAACTTAAATTTATTGGTTCTTATAAAAAAGTGTGTATGTGTACATAATGGTGTACTATTAACCCCAAAAAACCGATGGTTGATATACACGTTTTTCGCTGGTTGTTTCGCGTTCTCTTTCGATTGAAGTTTTAGAAGCTGTTTGAATTTTCTATTCCAATTGAGATTTTGGGAACGCGATCACCATCACAGGGCCGGCGAAACGTATTTTAAAATGGAGGGGCCAAAGTGTCAATGTCTTGAAATGGATTAGGAAAGGCCACCACAATGGTCGGCAGCAAGAAAATTATTTGGAATTATAGTGTCTTAAGAACTACAGCGTTAATGGCGGGCCTACACGTCTGCCGTTCGGTGAATTTTAGATTTATTTTCAGTGATGTGCTTATGCTGGTTCTTGGTTCTATTCTAATTTCCTGTTTATTTCGTGTCAAACGGCAATGTATCTTGTTTATTTCTCTATGTTCGACTTGTTTACAATGATTTGCGGGTAAATAAAGATGGCCGACAGTTGATCGTTGGTACGAGTGAAACGTAATTTTGATGTAAACTTCATCCTATGAGCCTGTGGATGGTCTCATATTAATGGAAACATCAAATGCTATCGTTTGGTATATAGTTTACCTATGTAGGACCTATAGATCCCGAGAGGTACGTTACTGCATTAGCGCCCAGAAACGCTATCTAAAATTGAGTTTAACTGAAGGAAAATCCTAGGCAATAGATCTAAGCTATATTTTATAAACATGTCCTATAGTCTAGTCTGTTGTAATGTTGACTTGAAATAAGAAGGGTCTTGCAAAGTTTTATAGAATAACCTTTATAATATAGCTTGTAATGAAACTTATTTTAGATTTTGAAAGTAACCAAAATAGGACGGGGGTGGGGGGATAAATGGAACACGGTTTATCAAAAAACATTATCATTGTAATATAAACAGAAGAACTATCAGCTAGAAATAAAAATTAGGATATTAACAGTTAGGATATTATTTTTAACATCTGATCTTAAACTTTTTGGAGGTGGACATCTGATCTTAATGGTTTTTAACAAAAAGGCTCTTGACAAAAAGATTAATAGTAGGGATGGATTACCGTTACAATCAAACTTTGAAGTTTTCTTGATGATACTTTTTAAGAACAAATCTGCCCGTTCTTTATTGCTCATATCCTAAAAATTTGCTTTGTAGCTCTTTTTGAAATGTTTCCGAGAAAGTTTTAGGTAACAAACAGACCTTGTTTGCCAAGTTTAGGCCATAAAAAGAACGAAACTCCGTCAGTTTGTGCTGGCACCAAGCTATTCTGGATCAGGTTTCTCGATCAATATCTTAAAAAAGCAGTTGCTCGTTGATCGACTTAGACAATGACCGATTTCTTTGTTCAAATTCCAATATTCAGTTTAATATATGTCTTCGATGGTAAAGGCATAGCAATCAAGCTAAGGCACATTTAAGGCATTACTAGGCACAGTCACTTAGAAAATGATATAGTTAATTTCTGTCCACTTTTATATGAAAAAGTTTATTTTCCTCTGCAAAAAAGTGGGAGGGGGGGGGGCATGGCCTCCCGGTCTCCCCAGTTTCGCTCTAGTCGCCCGGTCCCCCCAGTTTTGCTGGAGCCCCTCAGATCCCCCCAGTTTCGCTCGAGCCCTCCCCTCTCCTAACCTAAAAAAATAATAGAAAACATTTGTTTACAGTGAATAACCCCTTTTTTCCTAATGTCCTCGACCAATATGGCCACCCAATATCTTATCCTCCCTATGGCACTGATCATTTTGTGATTAGCTCACTAATTTTTTCGCCTGGATCGCGCGGAAACTTGAGGAGATTGAAAGCATGGACACTGACTTTTTGGATGCGACTGCCATCCGACGACAAAGCAAATAATCAAGAAAATGGGCAGAAATTGTAATATTATTAATATCACAACAATGATTAGTTTACAATGATTAACAACTCTTTAAATGTATTTCATTTGCATCGTTGTGCAAGGCTTTTAAAACGTGTAAGTTTTGAGTTTTTACTCGTTTATGATAAAGAATAACAATTAATTTCATTTCAATTAATTTCAAAGGTTGGCGTTAGGCTTTAGCATTAGGCTAATAAATGCCAACCATTATTTATAAAAAAAGTAATGATATTTTTAATTTTGAAAACTAAATGTTACCTAAATTTACAATAAAATCTTTACACAATCCATAGTTGCATATCAGATTTCAGAACTTTATTTTCTTTTTGACATAATTCACGGAAAGGGACTCCCCTATATGCAATGGAAAGTTTCGTCAAAGATTTTGCCCAACCCACTTGTTTATCCGATACTCTTCGAAATATTTTGTAGTATAATTTGTCCATAGCTGTTTTAAAGTCAGGGGTTTATGTAAAAGGTGATGGACCATTTGGGACATGGACAAGACATGACGTAGAAAGAGGCCGGATTTTTCTCAATCTATGGTGTCCGTCCAATAGTTCTATCCTTCCTACAGTACTTTGTAGAAGTACCGCAAGCCTCTCAGTCTGGTGCCTTTCTTTTCACCATATATATTTAAATGACTTGGACATTTTCCAGGTGGAACTGTAAGTATGTGGCTATGTTATGCCAAAAGAAAAATCCTTTATGGTTCTAATGGAAGCCAGTATTAAATATTTAGAAAATAAATTCAATCGAATACCTGTTTCGGTTCCAAACAATTTCAAAAAATTTAAACCAAATAGACCTCAATTGGCATAATATATTTTTTTGGTTTCAAATGTGGCACGTTTTGCATAAATAGGTAGGCGAGAACCTACCTATTCTGGCAGGCAATATCCTGTTTAGTGGAGAGAGCGTCTGTTTAGGCGAGTGGATAATTGTAATGGTTGTCGATGGTTGTAAGGTAATGATAGATATTCAATCGAGAATGTATAAGGTGCACCACTAGTAATAAGAGTACCAAGACACTTACTTGAGACTTTAAGGGGGGATAGCTTGTTCAGGGGTAGCAACGTACGTCTTTGGTAAAATTACGAAAGAATTGTTTGTGTATTATCGTCGGAGGGTAGAAATTGGTCTTAGTTATGTGTTTGTCTTCTTTTTTTCATGACATTTGCCATTCAATAATTAGTAAAAAAATATATGTTTTAGCTGAAACTTTGCTTTTTTAGTTTTTAAAAAGTCAGTCTTCTATAATATATATGTTATATATAAATTGATTATGATGATGATAGTGGCGGTGCCAGCTACTGCAGAGTGGGAGGGTAATGTGCGGATCATGTATGTGGATCATGTTTTGACTAAAGTAGGGGGGTAATTACCCCCCATACCTACCTTGGTGCCTCCACCGGCTGACGATGTTGACGAACTGGAGCTATTCATTTCTTTTCTCATTTTTGTGACAGAATTCTAGGCGCAAATGTTGATCTTCATTAAAACTTTTCTAACTTTTAAGCCGTTTGAATCAAATCTGGTTTATGTTGACCTGTTTTGCTGGAACATTTTGCAATGGTATTACAATCTTTGTGAACATATGAGGTAGATGTAATGAAACCTAGGTTGGATTAACTCTGCAGATCTTTGAAAGCTGTCTTTTTGTTCATCTTTTTTTGACACGATAGCCACAGGAGAGTAGAAGGGGGGGGGGCGCAATGGCTCACTAGCCCTGTCTTTATTACAAAGGCTTTTCCTCCAGCGGCATATATAATTTCCGTAAAAAGTGTGCAAAATGGCGATTATTTTTGGTATTTCATTAACTGTTGCATTATTCATCTTGATTCAACGGCTTTATTTTCTTTGTCATTATGTAGAAGACCTACACCAAATATATTTTCGATTGTGCTAGAGAGAGCATTGATTTGTTTGAGTCATGACGTTACGGCCTAAAACACTCGCAGCTCTAAGCATATAGCGGTGAATCGATGGAAAGAAAATTTACTATGGTAAATTGGTTTTTTGTTGCTTTTTATTGTCATGAAACCTGTCTTGTTTTAGCAAGGAAAACGGCAAAATTTGTACAGTAGGAAACTTTTTACAATTAATTAGAACTACTCATGTTTAGTTTTGTTTGTGTAGAAACAGTTTTTCAAATAGTTAGGCATCCAAAATATAGTTAAGAATATTGCTAATAGAATCTTAGTGCTGTTTTGTGTTGTGAATTATAATGAATTTTCCTCATTATTATCCAGTTATTCAGTCACCGCATGCCGTTCATATCTATTGTACATAAAACGGTACTCTGTCGAAGGCGACAAAGACGGTGGCGTGACATCCGTACTACAGCGTGTTAAACAAAATCAACGCAGAATGTTCCCATTAGGAGGTTAAATGCTTGACGCTACGCAATCGTTAATGTACATGAAACTTTTCGGTAATTAATCAAATTGACTTTTTAATGTATGCTACACTGGGCGTCAAGTAGAGCCAGGGACATAGCGTGCGGGGTGTCAACAACCCCCCCCCCAACTTCCAACTTCCAGATAACTCGTCGGTATATTTGCATTTTTAACAAAAGAATTTTATGCCATATATAACAAAAGAATTTCTGTCGGTATTATATGGTTTTGCCTCTCTCAACACTGCCTTTGACGTTCATCAATGCCAAAGTTTTTGAGGCACATCCGTATGATAATTTTGCCATATGATAATTTTGCCGTACGGTTGTTTTGTCATACGGATGCTTAGCTGTACGAATGATTACCCGTACAGACATTTCGTCCTGGAATGTCTTGCCGTACGCGTTTTTAGCGGAAGGATATTTGATGTTTAGCCGTACGGATGTTTTACTAAAAAACTTTTTATTAGTTCTTCCTAAATTATCAAATATTCTTTGTTATTTCAAGCGATGACTAACGGAAGGTGATTTACTACTTGAGCCAATATAAGCCTCCACTCTTTCTTTGAATTCTGATCAATTTCATTTCTTTACCAACTAATTAAAATTTGTTGGACATGGTGGGACCGAACAAGGGCCCCTTCTGACTGTCATAATCGTGGGGCATGGGGTTGTGCCCCCTGGACCCCCTTAAACCGCCACTGCTTATCCGTTAAATAAATACTTCTCTTTTATATATTTTTCCTTTTTATTTATTTGCTTTCGAAAATGTTGGAAGTGGTTGCCCATGCTGTCATAAAGCATTTAAAGTTCATAATTATTGCTGATTTGCACATTGATATACACCTAATTGCAACATGTGATTCGATCGTGACAGGACAGTTGTAGAAAATTAGTTTTAAGCAGGGAAATGAGATCGAACAAGGTTCTGTTGTCATTAATTGCTGTGAATATTTGCTATTTTATTCATTGACAATATCGTACACTTTATTCAAATACAATCGAAACTCAATTCAATTCATGAAGGTTCAAGCTTGATAACATTGTACAAAATTCTCAATCTTGTTTTGCATAAACGCTTATGAAATATCGAGCCGAGTCCCCGTTTCTTAACTACACGTCAGAATGTTGGATCATGTGAATTGAATTAGCACAACAGTAAGATTTTATATAAAATGAATGGAAAGTAAGAAGCTAAGTGTAATTAATGCAAGGAAAAAAATCAAAAAATTAGAAATTGAGCTAAAATACATCGAGCGGTTTAAATTTAATTTTTTAACATAACAAAATTAAAGACTTAAATGCCAACATCCAAAATTCTTATCGCAACAAAAAAATGAAATCTATATATAAAACTGGTGGATAGTTAGTTATTCAAGTATTGGGTTCAGTAAACCACGATCTTTATTACTTCATAAAGTTTGGTTCGTTTTAGAAATATGTAGCTGAATTGCATAAATTTTAATAATAAAATTTGGATTAATGTGTTGCTTTACCTGATAAATTTGATTTCCCTATATTATGTATATCTTTAGCATGATGAGCCCTTCAAAGAAATCAAATAATATGTTTATATATGAAAATATAGAATTAACTGTATAATGCAAAATCTAGCCATTACAGAGGAATTGTCTAGCGTCATGCACTCTTTTTAATTATAATACTGTAATTTTTCAGCCTCAATATGCTTAAGAAATATTCGTTTTGAATCTGAATATATTCTGAAAATATTTTTATTGTTTTTTTCAAATTTGATATGGTTCTAGAGTTAGCCTTGAATAGGCTTTCCAAACAAGGTGAAGCAGTGACGGAATTCTTGGCTACAGCCACTGAAAGGAGCCCTCCCCGATTCAATGTTGTGTGCATGTTTTTGATAATAGATAATAGAACTACTAATCCAAACTTGATTCTGGGGAAAGGAGGAATTCGTATAGGGAAAACAAAAGTAGATATTGCAAATAATATATTTTGTCAAAAAATTGCCAGGGATTGCAGACCGTCAGTGGCGTCGCCACGGGGTGGACTGGGGTGGACATGTCCATCCTAGTTTCCCCAAAAGTCGATTTTCTAATTTGTCGAATTCCGTTGAAAAATCTTTGGGGGGGTGTTAGGTTGATCAGATCGATTTTGATTTTCGCACTGGCAGAAAAGCCACCGTTACAAAAATGCTGCTCGAGAAAGTTGCTTCTCCAAATATTTCAAAATAGATAAATTATACTAAAAAAGGATTTTCTAAGAGGCTGCAGGGAGAGGCCTCGAAAATTTGTTTTTGTCCACCCCAGTTTTTTCGAGCTGGCGACGCCACTGCTGACGTTGCCTATGTTAATAATGATCAATTCAATTAAGTTTGACTCTGCAATTCCACCTCGGAAAACCGAGCGTACCGCGTTTACCACTTTAGAACCTTACCGCGTAATTCTGGATGCAATCTAAAGCCTGTTTATGGCCTATAGGCTGCCCTGAGCATGCCCAGAGCATGTTACAGATATGATGAGGTAATAACACAACGGTCACGTGTGAAGATCTACAAGTTAAGCAAATGATGTTAGATAATCCAATCGATATGTGGAAGGAAGGAATAATATTTTATCGTATGGAATCTTTCAGAGCCATACGATTAGATATAGATATTCACAGTACAGATACTTGATAATATTGCACTATTTATTAGAGTGAAATAAGTATTATCAATAAAAGACTTATGATTTCAGTACAATCTCAGTTACTCGTACGTCGAGGAGGGCGATGGTTCGGGTTAACGAGTGTTCGAGGTAACGAATGTTTGGTTCATCGAGAGTTCGAATTATAGCGAGTTTTTTCAAGAGCGTTTTGAAAAGTCTCAGGAGGAGGGGGGGGGGCACTGTATAATAATCCACGATGAATCGCTTCGATGAGAACATGAATCACCTTGCAACATACCACTTCTTTTTCTTCCTAACTTTGATGCACTGAACAACGATTGTCAAACACCATCTTACGTTAAATCTAAATGATTTTTGCACAAAGTAGATACCATGGGCGTACAGAGGTAGGGTGTGGGGGTGTTTTTGAGGAACCCGTCCAGATTTTTGGCCTTTCGGAAAAAGTTCCGATTAAGCACTATTTCATAATTGAGAAGGTACAAGTAGTTTTCAAAGAAATGCTAGGAAGTAAAAGCTGAAAAATTATGTCCCAATCTGCAGAAAATTGTGTTACATAAGCTAAAATATTCAACAATGACACCAGAAAATTGATTTAAACCATCAAATAGCTTTCAGCTGTGGATATTTTCAGATATTTATTGAAGAGAAAGCTTGCGTTATTGAAAAAGTGCTTCAAAAAGTGCTGTGGAAGCATCAAAATTTACAAGTTTTCCCCCTTCGACGGCAACCATGGTGCTGCCTTGGACAGTGTAGTTATATTCTGGGCTGGTTCCAATTTTTAGATCTAAAGGGTTGGAAGGTCTGTTGATAATATGTAAATAGATGCTGTGAATCGACACAATGTATTGCAGAGGATGGTTTTCAACCCGGCAAATTCGTAGTAGACCCAAACAGGCCTGCCTCGCAACGGCCTTGGGGCCATATTTTGAAGAAAGCTTGTGGGTATTGTCCAGGATTGTCCATGAGTCTATAGGGGATGTTGTAAATATTTGGATGCATTTTCCGACCCTCCCTAAAACGTCTTATTTGCAATTTTTGCCGCCAACAATTGCGACCGCCTTCACTAAGCTCCCAAACGGTCTTACCGCGCCCTCTCTACCCCCAACCTCCCTCAATAGTGACGCTCCTGATTATCATTGTTGTGCAGTTTTATGAGACAGCTGCTACAACGATACTCAAAAATACTGTCAAATTTTAAAAAGAATTTCAAACTATCTTTCAAACTAAAAAATTTCTCTACCACGTCCAGTCAGTAATTGACTACCTGCTCTCCCATCATTTGAAGGTCTAACAATACGCCGCAGATAGATAGATAAAGATCAACGTGCTTCCGAACTCTTGTACTTTTGTGCACATTTCAAATACTTTGAAGACAAATTGCAAGATATTTGGGGCGCCATTTTGATCCTTTCCCCCCCTGCAATCTCATCCCTATAACGCCACTGTAGTGTTAAAGGGGACGGTGCTATAAAAAGCATTTGTGCGCCTGTAATCGAATTTCTGATTATCAAGTGATATCTTAAAAAGTGATATGCAAGTATGTCTCGCACTCCAAGTAGGATTGAAAAACCAGAGAGAGGGGAAGATCGTCATGCAGTCTGTTTTTCAGATACGACATGCACCGGTAATTGGTAAAGACAAAACAGAAGATTTGCGAGAAGCGTTCGTATAGACACGGTGACTTCGCTCTTTGTCTGCTATACTTCGTTGCAAAGAGATAATCAATATTCTCAAATCATTTTCCTCAGCCAATCATTTGAACAGCTGCAAGTTCACTGCAAGTAAATGGTCTTTGGTTTTAGCCTCTGTGCCTGGTTCTTTAATCTCGCTTGACTGTTTTGTTTTGATTATACGCACAACCGCATGACTCGGTGCTGGTCTGGCCCCTTTAATATTAATTGATGTTTGACTTTCGAAAACTACGTCATGAAATTGAAATTTTAAGAAGCAGGATGAAGTTAATTTATCTAACTCTTAATAGCCTCCTTACCCTGATAAAAGAGTTTCTTAATTAAAAAAAATGCTTAGACAGAGTATTTAAAATTTTGATAGGTTTGTTTGGGTTATCCTTTGTGAATTTTCGATTTTCTTGCTTTTTGGTTGCGGAAAGCCTGAAGGTTGTCTGAAGGTTGTCTTCAAAGCTTTGTTTGCAAGAGAGAACTCTTGATGTTGTTGTAGTTGTTGTTGTTGTTGTCTTGAAGCTTTCCTCGCAAACCACTATCTGTCGAAAGATGTTTTATTGGGAACGGAAAGCTCTGTTTCGCGACAAATAGTATTGCAAATGTATAAAATTTGCAATAGGGTTTTTGTAGTTTAGACACAAGAGGAAGACTTTACTGCAAACATTTTCCAATTCAGTTTTGACTGTAAGCAGCTCGTACTGTAGTGGATACCACTGTTCTCTCGTGCCACTGTCGGCGGAGATATGCTGGTTTTCTTCGAAACCTTTAAGCCTCACTCCACAACATGAATAAAAAAGTCAGCGATGGCTTTATGGTAGCCTCGTTTTCAAGTCAACTTTTGGGATTCCGCCAATTACGTTTCATGCCGCTCACAAACAAACAGAAGTGGGATTTAATCCTTCATAATTCCATTTTATGAATCTAAGCCGTTTTAATTTTGTAGTTTCATTTGCTATAATTAGTAAGCTACCTGCAAATCTCACGGAATAATTGCAGACGATACTAACCGATATTGTTTGAAACGATAACTATTTATCTTGTGTTGTTGATAGTTTGTATGAACTGGACTTAAAATGAGTTTCGCTTCCTTTTCAGTCACCAGAATATATTTACATAACCGGTTTGACGGACCAAATGGCGTACCGCTTGGTTTACATTTAACGAAAAGAAAGCTAAATTAAGAAAAAGAAAACCTGCAATGTTTTTTTCATTAGTTAAAAATTTGCAAGAAAATTTGCGGTCTGTAGTCTTCAATGACAATTTCTCATTTGTGCAAGATGGCGGACAGAGGGAGAAGAAAACAGATTTTGATGATATTCGGGCCATGGCTGTCGCAAGCTATTATGCTTTAAAGGGGGGGGGGGCTTCTTGGTGCCATTTGCCGACAAAGTGGGTGAACAAACTTTATTTTCTCGGCCTTCCCGGCACGTTAAAAAATATGCGACGAAGTACCCCCTAGATGGAAAAACTTCCGTTTTTGAAACGGAATGTTTTTAGAAAGGTAATGTCAGCAGGGCCGTTAGAAGTGGGATGGGGGGGGGGGCTGGTGGCTGAAGCCTTCAGAAAATTGGCAAACTGTACTTTATTTCCTTTATGGCAGTGCAATGAATGGGAACGATAAAATGAGCAACCCCCCCCCCCCCAAATATGCTGGATCATGATATGCGTGCTGCATTGTTACCTCAGACTGATCACATGAAGTTGCCTCATACTGATTTTGAGAACAAGTTTCGACCGCCAAGATAAAATTAAACTAGAACGATCACGCGGAAAGGAAAGGTCCCCTGCAGATAAATTTATTTACCATGATTGAATGCTTTTTAGAGATACCACAATTTATTTATGTTCGTTAGGGTTGACTATTGTCGACATTCCCTTTATTAAGGAAATACTCTGCGACCAGTAACAGCCCAGCTGCCGGTCAATCGTCTAACTTCTTTGCCATCTGCCTTGAAAATTTGAAAATTTCAAGAAACAATATACAGTGATTTATCGAATGTGAAAATATTTTATTGGAAAAATAGAACTTTGATAAAGAATCTGTTTTTTCTCATGCTGTTATTTCACACTGTTTTTAAAGGAATATTTCACATAATATTTCTAAAATGTTTTCTCTTGGGCATTTAATAATGCATATATCAGTTTAATATTGCGGCGAAATTATTTGATAAATCCGTTGATTTTACCTTTGGGAATGAAACATACTATCACAATACAGGTTGTTTGAGAGCACCTTGTTGAATTTGAGTTTGCTCAACAGTCAGATAGTTTTGAAAGCAATGTACCGGTTGAGTCAAACATAGCTAGATAATATTCTTAATTTATTCTTAAATTTCATCGTTTAGTGACTCTGTTTTTTGTGATTCATCAGATGAATTATATAAATCAACCGCCCTACTGAAGATGTTATTTGGTGGTCTTGGAAAATTTTGATAGTATGCATTAGGTTGTAGAAAAATCAATTTGATGTAAGAACAATATCAAAAACGCGCAAGCTTCAGATCAGCCAAAAGATATGAATATGGAACATTGACAAAAATTGTCTGGTTCTTATTGATTTATTGAAAGGGTGTTTTTAACCTAAGTTCGTGCATCCAATTAAAAAAGAAATATCCTGTTAAGTTACTCGGGTTTCGACTAGAATTTGTATTCTTGGTTGTAGGCCAAAACTGATAACCAAGGATGAAATAAAATAAAAAGAGCAAGGAATCTCTAGCAGAAAATTCCCTGAAACCCCCTTGCATCACAACCGTTGCGTGACACCCCCTTGTATCACCTGAAATTAGCCTGTGTTCCAGACCCGTTACTGAGCCCACTCGGGTAAACATCCTTGTTAACAAACCCAGCGAGCATTGTTCTTTACGGGGGATAACAGGTTGAAATATTGCAGGGGCAACAAAATTGTTCTTGGACTGTCAGGGGATTGGATGTCGTGCAAAAGGGAGACCTTTCCCCTTATAACGTCATGGCGCAATGCATTCTGGTACTTGTAGTTAAACCCGCGAACATTTTATTAGGTTTTCTACGGATATCGGACGAAGCTCTGTTATTATTCAACGCTGTTTGCTCAAATTATCAAACAAATTATAGAAAAAACGGTAGAATGTATCAAATACACACCCAGAAACTAGTGCGGCAGAAAGTCGTCCCGACTGCAATTTTACAGCGAGCAAAAAGTGAAAATATGGGACCAATGGGAGAATGTTTCTGGTATAATGTAGATATGATTTCTGGAGGGGCTTTGAGGTACCAGTTACGGTTGTGCCATCGTGTGGCAAAAGTGGAAAATATTCTGAATTGGGTGCACCAAAATGCCGTTTTCCCAAAAACTTTTCAACCTGCAGGGGTACCACATCCTACTTTAAAGCCATTTGCAAGGTTCATAAACTGGTGGGATTGGTTTTGAAGTTTTAAACTAATTAACAAGGGTTATCCACTGGTGGAAGTAGTGTTGAAAATGGGCGTAGTCATATTGACGTCACGATTTGCCTTTCTTCGAAAAATTTTCAGACTAATCATTAACTATAAAGAGATTTGTGCTAAGAGTCATCCCCAGTAAGAGCACAAAGTGTAACTATATTCAAATTTAAAACATTTATATACTGCTAAAGGCTTACTTGTAATTACCTTTTGAACTAAAAGCTACATCTGGCCGTAAAATTATACACTGCTTGAAGACCCTTCTTGGGGGTTGCGAGGCTTACCTGTCTGCACAAGAAGAGCTCCAGACAAATTGCTACAGTATAAACATAGCCTGTTTCCCAGACCCCTAACTTGAAAGTAGAGGTTTGGAGCAGAGGCAAAAGAGCATCAGTGTTGCCACACGTAGGGATTTTTACCTACTTTGGGGATTTTCAGAAGTTTATAGGCTGTAGGGAAAACCTGCGAGATCAGTCAAGAAAAGTAGGTAGTTTTCTGGAAATTGTAGGGATTTATATTTGTTTGCGGCCAAACAATTAGATTGCTTGTATTTCATAGCTTTGAACTTCAATTTCCACTGACTTTTCATGCAAATGCAAAAAGTAGTTATGAAAAGATATTCCGCAAAAAATTTTACGTCAGAGTAATTTCTTACAAAAGCATTACTCTTTATAGTTGAATAGTTTTTTGGGTCCTCGATCTTTATGGCTTTTTAAAATAGACTTTCGCTGAAAGTTGTTTTTAGAAACATAGATGGACGTGGGTAAATCGCAGGGATATTTTGAAATATGCAGGGATTTGTGGGGAGAATCCACGTTGACATGCGTAGGTGGAAGTAGGTAGAAATCGCCTGCGCAGTAGGGAGAAACGATAAGTCGAGCGTGGCAACACTGAAGAACATCATCAGGTCAAATATATAAACAAAGAACTTCAGCATTCTTGGCAGTGTCTTTCCTATCAGTTTGAAAACAGATCTTTATTAATGATGACTAAATTGTTCTTGTTCAACTATTTTTTGCCACCATTGACTCTTTTCATAATTTATAACCATATTTTTACTTCTGTCACTGTCAGGCCTAAGGTGCACGTACGCTCTTTAGTATTTTTACTGAATTATAAATGAGTCTTCCACTGAGCTGTCCATTTCAGAAGCTTGGTATAACTTTAAAGACTTGGTCCAACCTTTTAGTCAATTCATATCTTTCTAGGCCTATCCTCTTCTTCTCCATCCAAAGTGAACAGCTTGTTCTCCTTTTGTGGCCTAATCGCAACACCAGAAAGTCTATCTGCAACATCATTTCCCGTGCAAGAACCTTGAGAAAACTAGGGATGTGCTGCTGGGTACATTCTGCCGTATTTTCCATGATTTGTTTGATAATTTGAGCAAACAGCGTTGAATAATAACAGAACTTCGTACGATCGCCGTACAAAACATAAACAAATGTTCGCGGGTACTACAAGTACCAGAATGCATTGCACCATGACGTAATAAGAGGACTTGGGACAAAAATACGTGTTTGCAGACCACGTGGTGTAATGAAAAAATGGCCGCTTCATTCGATTTTTGAAAAGTGGATTCCCCAGTTGGGCATACATGGGTTTAAGTAAGGGTGAGCATTTTAATGTCTGGCGTGTTCCCACAGTCAGCATGAACGCATGCTATGGCCTATCATTAATATTCACATCAGAATACAGAACGCTTCCAATTTCATTCTAAACACTGTCTCCGTGTGCAAGGAATGAATTAGTAATTCATTCACAACCATACTATTATTAGTGGTTTGTTAACCGCTGCTCGCATAATGCATAGCAAATCTTTAAGCTTCTTGAGAGCAGATTTTTTAGTTTGACATTGGTTTTTGTTAGATTTTTGTTATGTCAAAGTTGATATACAGCTTTTTTGAACTGTTTTCAAATACAGTTGAAAAAAGCAGCACAAAGATAACTCTGCTTAATTTAATTGGCCTATAGAAGTAAGGGCAGTTCTTCCTCAACATAATCACGTTTCTTAAAAGTCCCAGAAATATTGTAACGATGTAATTCTCTTTCCCTTGAAATGAAAAATGAGATCTTCAATCGTGTTGACAATGTTAAACCTCTTTGTCTTTTTGCTTTTATGGTACCAAGCCCTCATTGTCATTTTAATCGCATTTTCAAGCTTACGAAACTTGTGAAATAAACTTATATGGCCGATTTATCTTTCTAGCTTTCCAAAGCTGTATTGAATTTTAGGCTCAAGTGTTTATAGAGGTTTATTTTCTCGGGAAGAATTGATTTGTTTTGAATTGCGAAACAAATTAGTACTTTGTTTTGAACCAGAGGCCCAATGCAAGTAATTTTTTTGAGGAGAGGATTCAAGAAATAATTTTGCAAATAATTCCAGTCAAGAAGCAGATTTTCTGAAATTTTTAAACAAATTTGGTGCTGCAAAAGGCCTCCTTAACCCCTGATTAACGTTAGGAACAGAGAACCTCGACGCGAAGTGAGCAAAGGGGGAAAAACGCCAATAAAAGGGGCAAAACAATAGTAAAAACAAGAAAAATGGTTAGTTTCCCGAGGGTCCTGATGCCCCCCTTGAGCAGGCGTCTCTGCTTAGGGACACACTGGCTGTTTTTGAGGTTATATGGTGTTCCGTGCCTGGCAACTGCTTGGATGAGGATGCTATTTGGTCCGGGTTTTATGATAGCGCCTCCGCTTAGTTGACACGCTGAGACTTTTCCCATGTATTATTAACGAGAATCGGTGAGTTAAGGAGGACTTTTGGAAGTAATGGTTCAAGCACCAAAGTAAGGATTTAGTAAGGTCAAGAACAAGGAAGAAATAGTATCTAATGAAAGTATGGCGACGAAGCCTAAAGTGAACTTCGATCCTCCTTCGATACCTGTATTTTTGGATCGTTTGGTGAGCGCTGGAGTGAGGACAACTTCGTTTGAGAGCGACGCCACACTCCAGTAAGGCATTTTGCATTTTCATTTTATTTCACATCTTTTAATTCCTGTTTACATTCTGCTGCCAGGTTTCGTCTCTCTAAGCACCCCTCGGCTGTGTTAGAATACTGCCTATTATAATAATCTTTTTAGACTCAGTATCTTCTTGATTTATAATTTTCCAAATATTACCCTACTATTTTAATTTTTTCGGCAAGAAAACGGAATTTTGTTTTCGATGTATGTTTTTGATGGCGCTAAATCCTTTAGCAATTATATTTAAGCAATTCGGTTGAAACAATAAGCTTTTTCTTTCTAACGACAATCGTGTTGCTTTTTTTGATTAATAAATATGCGCATAATCCCACAGTCGCTGTAACTGAAATTGTTTTGGGAAATTATAAAAGACAATTAACACAACCGTTAAAATTTGAAAAAATTGTTGATAAAATTAAAATTATCTAGAAATCTTCGATATTGTGTTAAAGAACCTGAGTTTTTTGAGAGACTGGAGAGCACAAAGCTTTACTGTCATTTTTCACGTTGCCACACTGTGGTTTTTTCTTTTTTTGTAAAAGTCTCCTAAACACCGCTGAGCCAGGAATAATTTCTTTTGAAAGCGGAAAAATTTTCCTGGAACCCCGTGTTAAACCACCGTTTCCATTCAAAGAGATTTTTCTTCTAGTTTTGTTTTCAACCTTAAGAAACAAAAACACTACTCTGTTGCCCGCTAGTTTTGTCTTTTCTTCTCTCCTAAACTTTGATGATATGCATCACCCTTCAGTCGCGAACAGCGTTTTTTGAATAATATATTTACATTTTGCCCGCGACCGTCTATGCTGGAAAACTCTTCTGTTCTCTCCGCGAAGATTCAATTGATGTTTTTTATTTGTGATTATCAGGATTTTGCAATTGCGCAATCAGGCTAGTTTTAACATATAAAGAAATCTTGGCTTTGCCATGTTTTTTATCGAAAATTTCACTCCACGACACTGTGGGACAGTGGTAATAATAACAGAGGCTTTTTTGAAGAGTACATGCCCTTCCTCTACGGACAAGATGTCTGTAGTTAACGGATTGCAATAGTCTTTGTTGCTGCGAAGAAATATGAACAGAAAGTCTAATTTCTCAATCGTATAGTTTTGATTTTATCATTGTTATGGTTGCTCTTACATTTGTTGATTTGTTTGTGTATGCAAATATACTTGAAATGCATGGCTTCAAGCAAAACGAGAACATTTGATATGATATTCTGTTTTCATAACCCCTTACGAGAAATATGTCGGGTACTTAAATTCAGATGGCCTTCCCAAAGTAAAATTTGTAAAATCGTGAAACTTTGTAAAATCGTGAAACTTAATCACATTAACGAATAAAAAAACTTCAGTTTTATTTTTTGATATTGTTATAAGTTCAACAAGCTTTTTAGTTGAATAAATTCCGCTCTTACGTAATTAAAGCAAGCAAAGGATGTTCACAAATTTGAAGAAGTGTTAATTCATACAGCCGACGTCGTTTTTGTAAATATTATCTTTAATAACTCCTAAATTTCCCGTAGAAATTTAGCTTTGAAATTTATTCTAGCTAAATATCGCTGTTTTCAAACAAAACCTTTGTTCTAAAACGTACAGTATTTTTCTCATCTTCAAAAACGAAAATTATTGTAATCGTTTGCTTTTGTAATCGGCCGAAACCCTAGAAGTAAATAAAATCGAACATCCAAAAACGAATGTCGACCAGCGTGGTCGTAAGAGGTAAACATGGACAAGAAGCCGAGTTTGAAAAGAATGATTTTTTTACTATTTGAAAGAACATTTTTTAATTGACAACTGCCTTGACGATGAAAGAAAAACTATACCTGTTGTTTGTAGGCGGTTTCTTCTTTTTGTATTAATTTTTTATCACAAATCGGGAAAATTTAGTTTCGTTGCCTGAACAATGGCTACCTCTAGATTTTTTCGCGTTCGATAAGTTTGAGCTGTTGCGACATCAACAATTTCTTTTCTGTTATCTGTGGGATTTTGGATTAGTTTTCTTGGTCAGGCCTGTCCCATTATAGCTTCGTATTCATTGTTTCAAGGAACGGATGGCGATTAGTTCGTCGTAGAAACTTCTTTTGGAAAGATTATCTGAATTTTCGCAGAATCTCGAAATTTTTAACAAAAATTTACATTTTCAGCCCAGCTGTATTTTTACATTTGAAAATAGCCCGTTAAAGCAAAACATGGAATTTCCAGTGCCGGGGTTAAGGTGGGTGCTTTTCAGAGACGTGGTGGGAATTTTAAATGGCCGGGAAAATAAAGTTTTTAGGGGCACAACATTTTGGTGCTGATTGTTTCTTGTTGTCATCAATTATGATGTGTTGGAAATAAGTGTCGCTGAGGCAGCGTAAAACCTTCCCTCACTTGTTTTTTCTCTCTCACAAATCTGATGCTACAAATGATAAAAACTTCAAGGGAAGAAAAATTCAAAGGGCTCACATGAAAAGTTTTTCCCGAGTCCCGTTGGGCCACCACGCCCCTGGTGGTTTTGGTACTGCAGCATTTCTGAAGTAGGTAGCAGTAAATTTCCCTAACATTGCACGAAAATTCCTCAGAATTCGGAAAAATCTAAAATATAGACATTGTTTAAATGCACTACAACAGCAATAGCCATAGAAGCAGGTGTCGAACGGAATTACTCATCTATTTTTGGCAGATGTTCCCGGGTCATTGATTTGAAGGAAAAACTTATGTAGCCTTGGCCTTCAGTAGAAACAGCATATGATTAGCAGCCTCTTCCTGGAATTGAAAAAAGGCCCCTGCATAGAACGGAGGTCAACTATAATGAAAAACGAAAGTACACTAGGTGAACAAAAGTATTGCACCACCTCGACGAATGAATAATGGCGTCAGCGTTGTGAACAATATGCCCTTTGAAATTCAAATCACTTTTGTGAAGCAATTAGGCGTTATTCCATTCAGGCGTTAAACGTGTGATAACAGTCACAAAAATTAACAGTTTTGGGCAACCAAGCAAAAAGTAAGGACTTCCAAGTTCGCCTTAATGAAATCTTACATGTTTGTGCAAAGAAAAGCCTTTTTTGCTGCAAATATATTACAGGTACTCCTATCGTAATTGCTTAGTTTTCATACTTTGGTAGTCGATTTTGTTTAAAAATAAGAAGAAACAAAATCAGAAGAAAAAAAAATATATTTGCATTTTTCATTTCATATCTATACCTAGATAAATTTCCCATTATTTCCCATCCTAAGGTCATCTTACAACTTTTACTTGACTTTCTTTAGCTATTTGAATTTGCTACAAAAAGTTCGCAGCGATGCAGCCATTTTTTGGGGGGTAGTGCAATACTTTTGCTCACCTAGTGTACTCTGTCAAGCTTCGGCCGACAGGAGTCGCACCCTGAATCTCAGTTATCAATTTTGTTCGCATACTGCAATTGACAGGGGACTGGGATCGAATCTTCGTTTCCCTGCGCCTAAATTAGGCTGCAAATAATAGCTTTCTAGGGAAAATGTAAACAAGCTTTATCAGCATATGTAGCAAATAAAGCAAACTCGAGAAAGTGTAAATCATGGTTCAAAAATGGAATGAAAAATGATATGGGGAAGGTGCAGCTGGAATTTGAGCCATGCGTGACAGATATTTCAGACGCCTGGCAAAAGGACGGAGCATTGAATAGCACGTTTAAAAAATAATCTGTTCGCATCCCAAAAGCCTTCTTGACACTTTTGGTAATCAACCTCCATCAGCCCCCCTCTCATAGTTGCCCCTTGAAACCTTCTTCTTGTATTTCCATTGTTATAAATACTAAAACACTTTTTTTACGTTTCCCCCATACATTCTCCGCCAAATCTCAAAGAAACAAAGGACACAGGGAAGCAAAATATTTGTCAATCATTTGACCATCCAACCATTTTCAAACCCATGCTACAAATTTGGACTATGCCACGAGTGACTTAAGCAACTGCCATCATGATTTAGCGATAAGCCTAGTTTAAATGTTTATTTTTTCGAAAACTGCCTCTTGAAAATTGTCATTAGTCTTGTTTTTCGATAAGAGGCCAAACTAAGAAATCTTGGAACGTGAATCAAAAGCGGATTTGAGTTTAAACGCAAACTCTAGAAATATTTTCTCGTGCGACTCGCCAATGAGTTTACAACAATGTTCAGAGCTGTGGGATTGAAAAACGAGAGAGTTTCAGCTCTCGTTTGCTTGAAGCCTCTTGCAAAACCATCATGCTTTGCGACTATACTTTCAAAACCGGCCTATCATCGTACTGCATAGAAATATTAAATACAGCCCATTTCTAATCGCGTAAAGAAACGCTACCGCAAAACGTGACGCTTGCGCAAGGAATTTTTAATACTTTATAACAAGTTTTCTTACCAAGTAACTCTTTAAATCATAAATTTTCCTTATTCCTTATACAAATGTTCCTTATACCTATTTCATGAAATTGCCTTGGATCGTGTTTTGCGATTCCATACTTTACTCAAGTTCCAGACTGAGATGTTATCGCAATAGTAGGCGTAAGTTGTTGCAACCCGTTGCATCAGCGATGTGATCTTTTCTCGGTGCGGTCGCCCAAATATTTCCTCGCATTTGCAGGTGGCAATCTCTGCTGATCTTCTTGATTATATATCTCTATATCTCGGAAATCAGTGACGATTTTCAACATTATCTTCACAACAACAGTGCATGCTATATGCCCACGTGTTCTCGTATCCATAAAGCAACAGAGAAGCTGTTAGGATCTGTCAGCCTCTGTTGCAAGAGTTACTATGGCAGCCAGCTTTTTCGGCCTCGTTCATGTGGCGATATGGTAGAAGAAAGACGAATAATGATTTGTTATGGAAAGGTCTACCGATAGAAAATGGAACCATGGTAACTTCCCCGAAGGTTCCAGTCGCAAGCAACTCTGAGCTTGAGGTACTGGTTTCATGACTCAAACGTAGAAGAAAGGATTGAAATATTTAGAACCTTGAGAAAAAGATTGTTTTGCACCGATGCAGATTCAGGT